GATGCAGAAGGGAACATCTTGTGCAAATACTGTGGTGTATGATGCCAAAGGGATATGATCTTATAACTCTTTTCCTGCATATATGAGGACCCTTCTCATTTTTAATGCGGAACTATAGCAGATGTAGCATTGCGTGGCAATACCATGGTATCATGTGGCATCATAGTCACCCAGGACTCTCAGCGGGAGGGGCTGAGCGGTTCCAGGAAACAAGTACTTATACGAGGAATGAGCAGGCTTTGCAATTCTTTCTAGGTTTTCAGGATTATAGTTGGGATCCTGGAATCAGGAGATTTCAAAGAGAATAGGAAGGGATGAAATCTCCATTCCTGGGTCTGTGCTTTAGTAGTGGCCAGCACCCAATGATTGTGCACCTGTGCACAACCCTTATGAAAAGGCTCCTGGCTTATATACAGGGTAACACCTGGGAGACAGAGGAGGTGTATGTCCAGGAGTCAGGAGGACTCCATCCTGGAACCAGCTTGTGCGGTAAGTTGAGGAGAACCAGCCTGTGTGGCAAACGTTTTGTTAAAGTGACAACCTGGTGTCGGTGAGACCTTGACAAATGTTATTTTGCAGAAAGCCAAATGAAGTTGTTATGATGTTGGAGAAACCCCTGTGAGGAAAAAACGTATGTGAACTTTTAAGTAAAAGTCACACTACTTTTTAGGAACATCAAGGCACATGAAGGCATTTGGCGCACACAAATTGCATATATAAAGTTTGTTGCTAACGAGAAATCTATTTAAACAAAAAAAGGTTTTTGTTACTGAATTTCAGCTCTAAAGGTCTCTATCTAGTTACCGTCGGTATAGTGCAAATCAGCCACCTTTCTGTACAATTACTGAAAGGAAAAATGATTAAACTATAAGGCACCAATGATATACAATATAACTGGCAGCAAACTGGATTCCAGTACATTTTACTGGAGTGCCATGAGTCAAAAACCAGTGGAATGTTTCAGAGACACCACACTCTCCTTTCTCAAGGTGAAATATAGAACGAAAGTTTATTATTGTAGTCACTGGAATCCAATGCCCTTAGTCTGTCACTTGCCCATATTGACTATCCTCCCCCTATCCTTTAACTTTTCTCTTCCCCTCCCCAAAGGGGACCAGATCTGGTGGTAGGCCACCCGGACGGTGACCTAGTTTCTTCATTAGTTTCCTTTATTTCTTCTATTCTTATTACCTTCTGTTTTTGTCTTTTCCCCCTTTCTCTGTACACGTGTTTTCCCTGCTTTTCTAGTCTACCTACGCCCTTCACTTTTCCTATTTCTCTTTTTGAAATGTCTGACCTATTCCTATCGTGCACGTACTCATTAGGACTCAACTCTCAACGGTTGCTCTAATATCCACAGGGATGGATTTATATCCCTTTAATAGACCTTACTACCTACCCCTTATTGGCTTGGATTACCTACTGTTCCTGTAATTATGACTCTTGATAATGACTATTAATTTATGAGGGACAGCTATGGTTACTCTCTTTTTTTACACTAACATTGGGTGTATATCGTATTTTCCTTTCTCAGATGCTCAATTTTTTTTCCTGTTCCTAGGTGAAAACATTTTCTTTTGTTTAATAAAAATATTTGTGGCAAAAAGTGAACTACACCTCTGAAAACATTGCGTTGCTTTTTGAATCATATGGAATCATATTAGTTAAATCTTTGTACTGGAACCTGGTGGGCTGGCAATTATTTTGTAACCAGTGCAATAAAAAAGGATGGGGGTCTATACTTCCCACTCTCTCCGAAAACATTTTTTAATGAAAACTTTGGCAGGTACATAGCAACAAAACAAAACATCTAACCCTTCACCAATATATATGAAGAGAAATATAAGCTTTTGGGTAACCTTCTAGGTACAATGTTCACATGAAGCACAGTAATAGCGGGACATTGTATGCATGGAATTTGCATGTTCTCCCTGTGCTTGTGTGGGTTTCCTTCTACAATCGACAGACTTGCTGGTGGAATAATATTGTCAATCTATATTGGCCCTGCATGCATATGAGATAGGGAGCTTAGACTGTAAGCTCCTTAAGGACATCGACTGACAGTCACATGAATAAATAGTATGTAAAGCCCTGTGTAAGTTGTATGTGCTATATAAATAAATATCAGTGAAGGGAAATAGTTGACCTTGGCATATACGTGTACTATATAGAGTGTTATTGTATTAATACATAAATCATATGAAAGGTGATTTTCTTTTTTTGCAGGGAAGTTCCCTAAACGAATTAGGAGTAAGGATATTTCTGTACAGGCTCCACCAGTTATGTTGCCAGTCAAGTTACATAATTGTTATTGCAACAACTGAAACCAGTGCAATCTATTTTTTCATTTAAATGCAGATTTACCTTGATACCATACAATCCATTTTTCAAACAAGAGCTTGCAAAAGTAGATGATGGCTGTGCAATATCTCAACAGAGGTACTTGTGACTCCTCTCAGCAATCCCCCAGTGTTTTGCTGATTCATTTACCAACATGTAACTGTATTGATTACTGCTTAATTAATTCCCCTTAGCTAAGCCTCTCAAAAAAATATATATTACACACATATATATACATACATACACACACACACACTGTAGATTCTGAGATAGAGGCAGCTATTATAGGCAAATCGCAACTGCTCTTGTAAAAGTAAAATTTGACCCCCTGCCCTTATATGCATGGTCTCCCTATAAGTCCCTTAATGTGATAGAGAACCTTTACAGATAAGTGCACTTTAAAGTTAAATGCACTTATCCTTTTTTTCCCCTGACCCCTGACCTAAGTGGTTTAGACTAGACTTCTAAGGGGCCATCTCACAGCCACAGATGGATGCATCAAGAAGAGGGAAACAGCGGCCCTCAAGTCTAAGTATAGATCTGCGGAGGTGGAGAGGGAGCATGGGATCCTTTAAGCAAAAAGGATAAGTGCCTGTTGTCTAAAAGTGCACTCATTATTTAAAATGAGGAGGCTCAGAGGCATGCATGGCAGGACCAAGCTCTTTTGCAGAAAAAGCAAATGGCAACTTGTGTTTATACTTTTCTCCCATTAATGCCTCATTTTCCATTGGTGCCATTTACAGCCAATCACCATTCAAAATGTCAGATTAGAGTGACAGTAACATTCAACAGAAAATCAGAATCATCTGATAATTGACAATACATACACTTTTCTTTTAGTTTATTTAGTTTATACATGACAAATACAGAGTTGTGTCTCGACAGTAAGATGTTCTACTGACAATGAATGACTTAGACAAACAAGGTTCTCTATGCTGATAACGTCATTTAACAGTAAGAAAAGCTACTTACAGTCAATAACACGTGAATTAAATTTTGAAAAAGCAAGAATTGGAGTGCCTGCTGGTAAGTATTACAAAATTAAAAATACATTAAACATTTCCAAAAACGACTACCTTAATTGTTAAGTACAGCATTGCCTTCTTAGAACAGAAGGTATTGAGTGCCCTTTCACACGTCTGTATATGCAGCAACACAGATTTTATTCACGTGTTTGTGAGGGGAGAATCATTTCCAATGGTGCAGCTGCATTAAAAACACACACAGCTGCAGGATACTTGCATTTTTGGGCGTTTACCATTTGTTTCAGTGGTACAAAAAATGCAAGCTTTTCACTGCAGGAAAATTGTGAGCGGGCCCTTACCTGTCCAATAAAAAGCAAAAAACAAGGTGTTTGGATAATGGATGGGGTGCCAGCTAAAAGGGTTTGGTATGAGGCTTTTGGCCCCTTTACCAAACCTTGATGGGTTAGCCTCTGTCTTTTTCATGGAGAAGGTACTGCTTTGGAGGTGAATGCCCTCATACTGGCAATACTTTAAAAATGTCTAAAGTTGGTAGAATTGTGATGGCCATCGTGGCCTCCAGTTGATTTCCAGAAGAAGACATCTCTGCAGGAACAGGAAACACTTTTCCATGTGAGACACGGCTACAGAAAACCCATCTCACACATTCTCTAACAGGGATCCCAACTCTGCATCTTTCTTCATCCTTAGTGTCAAGCCAAGGGAGAACAGAAAGATAGGAGCTGAAGATATCAGTATGTGTATGTTCATATAGACTTCAGGAGCCAGCAGGAATTTAGGAGCCAGCTACATTGACAACAACTAGAGAAAACCTCAACAGTGAATCGCCACCTGGAATTTTTAAGATGCATTGGTTACTTGACTCCTGGGAAATGCCTAGCTCTGGTCTATGCACATGCTTAGTGTGTATGTGTATGTACAGGTTTGTTTGGTGCGTGCATATGAACAGGGCTCAATTGCACATGGAGTGTAACAAATTCACTTTTGTATTATTGCTATTAAAAATGTTCTTTTAAACCTTTCCTGCATTTTAACCCCATCCACATTAACAAACAGGAATTTTGCACACACCTGGAAATTTGACATTCTTAATGAGAAAAAATTATAATTTTGTTCCACCTCTCTAAACGTTGGACAGCAAAAAAATATTTGACAAAAAAAAGACAGTAAAAAAATTATACATACAGCAGCTGATTTCTATGAACAGCCATGATTATATACATTAACATTGTCCACGAAAAACAAATCTGCCCCAATAACAGAACTCTATCCACTAACTTATACTAAAGTACTTATTAAAAGGTATATTTGAATAACAGAAAGCCTGTGCGGTCTGGTGACCACGTATGTGAAATACCGCATAGTTAATTGTAACTCAGCAAATGGCACACAAGGATTGAATACCTTCTTCAGTCTATCTGTTGTAATTTGTAAAAGCACTAGCAAAAAATAGCTATATTTTATTAAAAAAAAATCAATGATGTGTTAGGTTGGGAAACTGAAGGGAACTAATGAAATTTAGCCCCAGGAGGGTTTGACTGCAGTCACGGGACTGGATTTACTGAAGTATAAAGCGGGCTGCATTGAAACAAACCTTATGTTGTCGCAAGGAAATCTTTTCTAGAAAAAAAAAAGAAAAAAAGAAGGGTTCCCTGCAAAAGAAGACTTCCTACTTACCTCTCTGATGGGCACTGACTCAGATAATCGCTTTGCTGAAGAGCTGCAACTTCTGGGGGAACCTTCACATATGACCCTCCTGGAACTTCTCCCAGCCACGTGCTGTGGTTCCATCCGCTGGCCTCCAAGTCTGGGTAGGACATAGCAGCCGGTGGGAGAAACCACAGTGCGCAGTAGTGTACCAGGCATCCAACGGACCTGGAAGTGCATCTTCAGTGGTCATAGCAAAGCAATGATTTGAGTCAGCGCCCAATGGAGAGGCAAGTCTTCTTTCGTAGGGACCCTTTTTTAATGAAACTTCCATGTAAGAGTTACTTTAGACATCCAACTGGGCAGGAGGAACTCTTTTTAGCTTTTTTTTTTTTTTTTAATTCCTCTGTATACGAGTTTGTGTGTGTTTGTGTTCACTGCCCTTCACATATATGTAAAATCAGTCCCACCGAGTAGTTTACCGGACAGACAGCTCTCTCCCCAGATCAAAAACTTAGCATGATTAGATGAGCACCCATTCCCGTTTAAACACGGATTACAAGTAATAAATTAAATGATCAGGAATGTTTACCATAGGAATTAGGAATGCAGTTGGGTATGGATTTGCTAAGAGTAAACATAAGTTAACATGCAAAAAACAGTGCAAATATTGGTAAGCCTGGTGTGAGCTGAACTCCAGGCAGAGATAAAAAGGGACAAATTGATACAGCTCTGGATCACTACAGATATATATATTTGTTTTTGTTTTTTTTAAATGCAAGCAGTGAACATGCCAATGGGATTTAAGGATTATTCAATGGTTAAAGGGTCAGTACACCCAAAACTGGTACTAACGAACAGTTGCTTGGGTCTTTCTGGAACACTATTGGTGAGATACCTGTGGTCATGATCTGTGGTGGCCATTATGAGAAGCTCTCGCTCCCCATGTTGGATACCTTCATTTATATTATGTAGATGCAACAAGAGGGGCCTGAACACAAAAAAGGACAGTGGGAACACCAACATTTCAAAAATGTTTATGGCAGAGAGACCACACTGTTGGAGTATCCAAGACACAGAAGAGGTCAGGGGCTGACTCAACCCACCAGTCTCCACCTATATATTACTTCTGCTTGGATTGACCCTTTAAAATAAAATGGCAAATTTGCTAAATTTTACCTCTTGGATAATTTGTAAGAGTTGGGGCTACTACCTGTATAACTGTTACATGGCAGCACCTAAGGTTATTTATGTTGTCACACTTGTAGCCATTGTGTGAGAAGTCATAAATCCAGTGATTTCCGATTGCAAAGAAAGTATGTAAAACATATGTTGTTCTGTCATCTGCCTAGTAATTAGACCAAATCTCTATTTCTGTCCATCTATTCCAAACATAATTCGATTCCCTTACACAACTACTAATATTTCTTATAACTCTCACAAAATGAAAGTATTCTCTGGAAACCGGCACAGCAGTGAAGAAAACATCATTCTGCCGCAGTACTCTGCTGTATCAGAAACGTGGCCCAGAAGCCTCCCTGCTGGGCGCTAAGTGCATTTTTGGTTTTAAGGCATGAGATCAGAGCTGATGCAGAAGTCTTTCCAACACAATAAGGGAGAGCTTTATCCAGCTTTTTCTTCTTTCAAAAACAACTTTACAAGTTACTCCCTTTTATGTGGCTCAACGTTTTAGGCTGTGAAATAAAGTAAAGTCTTTATTCTACAGGTTTTTGAGACCATCGCTCCAGAAGACCATCACATCCATGCACCAAATGTGGATTACAAGGATGCACGACAGGGGTGAGCTGTGCGCTTTGTGTTTCTAGTCTTTATTCTGCTGGATTTGCTTCATTCATTTACCGGCAGGACAGGTTCAGTATCCCCAACGGTTTCCTCAGCTGGAAATGGATCTTCTGCGATTACATCTAAAAATATACAAAATGTTATTGTTAGTATGTTAAATTTACAGAAGTAATACCTGTGATATTTTCAGTTTACATACAGCAGATTATTTTTGTAGAGCAGTTGTGGGTAAATATATATTGGTTACAGACTTTGTCCAATATCCACAGTTCATACATTATTGTATATTTAAAGAACTCCAGCTTTTAGAAAAAAAATACTCCCCTGATCCTTGGTCCCGCCTCACTGCTACGTCCTTTCCCCCAGGCTCTGGCGGTCTAGGGCATGCTTTCTCGACAAGGGTGCCGTGGCACAATGGTGTGCCTCCTGGCCTCCTCAGCGGTGCTACAAAATTGTATGGTGGTGGGACTGTGATGTGAAGGGGGGAATGAAGACTGCTGTGAAGGGGGCTTCTGATGTAAAAGGGGAAATCTTGATTTGAAGGGGGCACATCAATGTGAAGGGGAAAACCCAGTTGTTTTTGGTGTGCGTTTGGTATGGGGCCTTAAAATCTGTGACATTGTACACTGGGGTGCCTCAAGATTTGACATTCTTTTGAAGGGTGCTGTGACAAAAAAAAAAAAAAAAAAGAAGAAGTTTGAAAAATGCTGGTCTAGGGACCTGTGACATGATCATGTCGAATACCAGTCTATTAGGCAGGAGGACACCGAGGGACAAACCACAGCCGAAGTAGAGGGCGAGTGGTCACTGTCGCAGAACCGAGAATCGGTGAGTATCTCTCCTTTGTTCCAGCCCCTGGAGAAAAAACGAGCAGTTAACCGTTGCAGAGCGGGGATAATCTGTTGCTTCAAGTGGGAGGCAGCAGCCAAGTAATAAACACTACTAGAAATACTCTTAGATTTCTCCCTCAGCTGCTGTATGACCTCTGTGGCATCTGTGCCTCATACCTGACCTGTTTGCCAGCTCTGCTCCCATCCACCTATATGCATTACTAATGGGTAATAGGGCCACTCATCACAGTGATGGACCAATAATGATGCACATAGGCAGGAGGGGCGGGACCAACACCAGGAAGCTTGGACAACAATTACATCACATTACAGAGTTCCCCTAGTTTTTTGGGGGTCCCAGGATGTTCTACAGGGAAGCAGAAGAGGTGTGAAGGCTCTTGGACATGTCTGCTATTTACCGAGCGCTGCTTTTTAACATCCCTTCCTTGCTTTAAAACTACTATAAAGTTAATAAACAGTGCCTAGGGAGTGTAGTAGAGCCAGCTGCCAGGCCCAGCTCCTACTTGAATTCAAGGACATTTGTCTCGGTCTCTTGCATTTATTACACGAGGCTTCTATGCTTATGGCTCCATTGTAAAGTACAAGGAGTGTGTGCTTATGTTGATGCCAATAATGTGGTGATATTCCATACAAAAAGGTAAGGCGCTTTGAAGTCTCATATTATTTGGTGGTAATCTACTTTTTAAAAACTCTTTAGGTTCCTTTTGAATGGAATGACCCTTTAACTATATTTGGCAAAAAGTCTTCCTGTGGAGGCTTACCAAGAGAAAAAACACTGGGCCTTCGGTCCTGCTCATAGCTGCTGCCCATTCTAATCAACGGGTTGGTCATTTTTGACAGGAACGCCTTAACTTTGTCCTTCTTCTCATTGTCGGTGCAGTACAAGCTCAGAATCTTGCAATTCACATCACAGTTCATTTTGCTCCTGCCCAGTAAGTAGAACACGTCAAGAAACACGTCAAGCTTGAACGTAAAGGAAAAGTTCAGGTTGTCTTCCATCAGCTCAAAGTTTTGCCTTGCAAGATAGTCTTTCACTGAACGGTGCATATTAAACTAAAAGAAAAACATAAGAATAAAATTACTGAATTACTCAAAATAATTTTCCGGAGGTCTTTTACAGCCAAATACCCAAAGTGGTTTCAATTAGCATGCACATTGTGTTGGTTTACAGGTCAACCTTTCATGGACTTTTAACCCCTTCGTGACGGGAGACGTACACTGTACGTCCCGCCACAAAGGGACCAAATGACTCATCACGTACACTGTACGTGACGAGTTATTTGCTGCACTAGAAGGCTGGCAACCGCTGAGAATCAGCGGTTACCATTCATTAATGTATCCCTCAGTTTCGAGGCATCCATTAATGAAAGGGTTAACCTTTTTCAGACACCCGATACCTTAATATCGGGTGTCTGAGAGTCAAAGCAGAGCGGGCACACATGCCCGGCTTTTGCCGGCATTCTGACAGCTCTCTCAAGCTATACTGGCTTTTTTTTTCCTTTCCCTTTCAGGAATAGATACATAGATGTATCTATTCCTGAAAGAAGAATGTTTCAGTTTTCTAAACGTTGTTGGAACGTTCAAGAAAACCTTTAATTAGTGACAGCTGAATCCTGAACTGCTGCAGGATCAGTGTCACTAACTTATTAAATCGGCTGTTCTGAAGTTTGAAGCAGCCTGATAATAACCCAAAATTTATTAATTTATCAAGCAGTAATAGTGAGATTAATTCACAATGACTGCTTGATATAATTAAATAAAATAACATTTTTAAGTTTTAAAAAAATAGTGAAAAGTGTAAAAAAAAAAAAGAATAAGTGTAAAAAAATAAAAGGGACAAATAAATGTATTTATTGCATTTTTTAGCTGTGCTGGTTTTGTAAAAAAAATACTACAAATCAAAACTGGGAAAAAAGTGTTTTTTTTACGTTTTTTCCTCTTTTTTTAATATTTTATTTGTCCTAAGTGAGGCGTTAGACACACATATGTGACATAAATATGTAGCCCTATCTGTCCTCTAAAAAACAATATATAATAGGTGTGGGTGCACTTTGTAAGAAACTATATAACTGACGTGGAAGAATCACACAGCAAAAATGTCAAAAGTGTGTCAGTCATTTACGAACAGAAACGAAAAACAAGTTCAGTCATGAAGGGGTTAAAAAACAGCATTCAAAAAAATACATTGGGTGTTATTATTCCAGGTTAACAAGTCATTACATTACTTAAAAGGTAAATGTAACATGAGTGCATTCACTGAGCCACTGATAGATCCCTTTAACGGCTAATCTACAAATGTCTATATTGAACACAATAACAATATTTTGAAAGCGCAAGCATGGAAAAAAAAGGTAAAAAGCAAGCCACTGATAGATCCCTTTAACGGCTAATCTACAAATGTCTATATTGAACACAATAACAATATTTTGAAAGCGCAAGCATGGAAAAAAAAGGTAAAAAGCATGGAATATATGGAAGTCATACCTACAATTATTGAAATAAACTTTATTTAATAATAAATTTAAACCACTGAGCCCGGGACCAGAAAAGTGCCTCTGTCACAGGGGATCAGAGGGAGATCGGTACACCATCTCCCCACGGTCCCCTCTCCGCTGTCAGAATGCGGAAGTGATGTATTTTACATCACTTCCGCATTCTGCTGTCACTCTCCAGCTTGAGACACTGGAGAGAAGCTGGTGAAGCAGATCTTTGCTTCATCAGCTTCTTCAGAGGGGGGGGGGGGGTGCTCAA